AGATTTGTGACAGAGGGATTCAGAAAGAAGTACTTTGCCAGAGATGGCAAAGTACTGCCAGGGCAACACTTCCTACTGACAGAAAGCAGGTTAGGATATCAGAGATTGATGAATGCAGAAAAGATGGGGTTAGCCCAAAGGCAGACTCTCCCAGATGCCATTGCTGAAGATGGCCTTGATATAGAATTTTTTTTTCTCTATGAACAATAGACGCCACTGGAGAGTCTGAAAACTGGCAACATGAGATGTGATTTACTTTCATAAACATCCCTCTTCCCACCAGGTGAGCAGCAGTGTGAGAAATCTAAAATCTGCTGCAAAGTAGCAGGTGAGATTTGTGTTGGCTTGACTAGGGAAATAGTAGAGAGAAAGAAGAGTTGATAAATTCAGGAATAATAAGCTGAAGCAATATTCAGAAACCAAATGGACAACTGTTCTCCTCAACAGGACTAGAATTTGGAAGTAGAAGCAACAGGACTTAGTGGATTGACCATATGTGTGGAGAGAAAGGAAAGACTCAGCATGGCACCTCAATGTGGAGCCTGAATGCTCAGTCGGTACTAGCCCCAATTCCTGAGTTTAAGGAAAGTGGGGATGGAACACATTTAGGAGATGGCTGCAGTGCCAAAGTACTCTTTAGCATTTGACTTGGAAAAGGTTTTAGACAAAGTTTCTGGTACTTGGTTCAGGATCCAATAAGAAGACAACCTTTGAGACTGACCTATGTAATAGTTTGGAATCAAGGTAGAAAGTATGAAGGACAAATATGCACCTAAAAATAGAAGGAAAAATATGATTTAAGTAATTTGAGTACTACAGGATGAGGCCTGACATGCATGGGGCCTGCTGTGTCCCCATCTGTCTGTACCACAGTTCGTGATCTAAAAGTTGTGAATGATTCTGCCATAGGTGATTTTCAGCATTCTTATAAGGCTAATGAAAAATAAGAAGCTGTGGTAGGAGGGAGAAAGGAAAACTAGACATGGTAAAACAATGGCTTCTCCAATAGTTCTCTTTCTGTCTTCAGGAACTAAAGCTCCATTATCGGAGTTCTGGAGAATCTCAACTCTTCTCTGAGATTTATGTTGACAACTTTGGATCAAGAATTCAACTGCAAATTAGAAACAAGAATGATGGAGCAACAGTATGGGAGGCCTTGTTGAAACCAGGTACAACCAAGACAAATCCAAATAGCTCAGAAGTAGAAGGAAATGTATCTATAACTCTGTGTGTGTGTTTGTGTGTGTGTGTGTGTGTGTGTGTGTGTGTGTGTTAAATCTAACACAATTTAATAGAATGTCCAGATGAGGTATGTGGCTTTTTCAAGTTGCCTAGAATCTGATATTACCACAATTTAAACCAAAATCAATATCACTATTGTAAGGGTCGAGTCGCCGCGAAGGAAGACCCCAAGAGTCGGTCTCTCATGCAAAGAACAAAGGGAATTTTATTAACTGTGTGCACACAGGGCGGTCTGAACACGCAGGAACAGAGAGCGCTTGGAACTGACCGTGGGTGGTGGTTTTAAGCCCCAAAGACAAAGGGAGGAGGGATCTTGCAAGCGAGGTTACAGAAGCAAATGGCATTGGTTAGTTTGGGTTGGTTCCAAAAATAATTGGTTGGTTTGAGAATATATGACCTTTCGAGGAAACTAAGTGAGGTAGGCTACAGGGCAACTAAATAGTTAACTATGCGGTTTCAGCCGCATTCCGAGGGCTGGTGGGTTTATCTATGCAAGGTGTCCTATTTCACAAGGATGCCCCCAGGTTGGTGATGGAATGTTTACCTAAGCCCGGCCTGAGGCTTTCTGGCTCCATCTGGGTTTCCAGATAAGGGTTACTTAAACCCTATAGTCAAGGACCAGTAGGTGGTCCCTTGTGACTGGAGTCTGAACTTTAAAATTCTTTGGGCCTTACACTATAAGCCCCTTGTTTTCTGCCATATGCCGTAGTATCTCCACACTTGCCTTGAAATAAGATTTTGGCTTCCACAAGGTCTTTGTCACAATGTCATCTCACAGCTTGGTGGTGATGTGAAGAAGAACTACAGTGTTCTGTGGTTTAAGATGAAACCATTATTGACTTTTTCCTTGACACATAATTATTTTAAGGTACAAAAGAAGAAATAAATAATAAACTTCGAAGAATAAAATCTTACTTTATCTTTATCCAATGCAAAGATACTCACCACCACAAAAACCCCTTAATTTGTCCGTAAGTGAAAAACCTTGATCTTGACATCTATATGCAGAATATGCATATTTATTTTGTTAGTGGAGAAGGCCTAATAAGTACAATGAAATCTATCTGTGCTCACAAAGGGAAGTACAGACAAATTCCATGAAATTATGTTGAATCATTTCAGCTATCTCACAAAGAACACACATAGGTCTCTATTAGGGGTTTTGCCCAGACAAAGGCAAAATAAAAACAGTTCTGCGAAGTTTCAGAGGAATTTCTATTGATTATTCTGCTGCTTTCTCTATATTCATCTGTGATCATAGCTTCTGAGTTTTAGTTTCCATATATGTAAGGAAAGTATTTGCCTACACAGTTTTTGACAGGACATTGTGTCTTTACACAAGATTGTATTAGAACTTGTCTGTATTGTTCTCAGAGTCCAAGAAAATCAAACATGAGTACAAGTTTCAATGTGTCAGACATATCCATAACGAATGCATTTACTCTATTTTGTCCAGGAGACCTCAAATCTGCAGCGACCCCTGTCTCTCCAGCTACCACAGGTGAGTGAAAACTGAGAAGTGACCCTCTTGAGATAAATCTGACCAAGGATCAAGGGATGGAAAAGCACCTGGCCAGGGATTAGCGCTTCACCATTCAGCTTTATCCTGCACATGGAGTCCCTAGCTTCCCTATGCACAGCCTCAAAGCACCATCATGAACCCCTTCTTTCTAATCAGAAATTATCAAGACAAAGGCCAGCAGAGGGCAGTGCACCATTGTTTCCTGGTGCTCAAAGTCCACATAGAGTGAAAAAGGAAGCAAGGATGCAGGTGAAGTGGAAAGAGCTAGAAGTGATAGATTGAATGTAGGGCACATGCCATGAAATTTTCTTTGATCATTTCAGCTTCACCTTCATCTTTAAATGTTCCATCCATGCCACATTTTGTGGACCAACATAAGAAGCAGCTGGTGGAACGAGTGACTTCGGTGGACTCAGTCTTAGACAAGCTGTATGGATCTGTGCTGAGTGAAGAGCAGTATGAAAGTGTGCGAGCTGAGGTCACCAAACAAAACCAGATGAGGAAGCTCTTCAGCTTCAGCCGATCCTGGGACAGGGAATGCAAATGTCATTTCTACAAAGTCCTGAAGGAAACCCATCACCATCTGATTATGCAGCTCTGGGAGGACTGGGGCAGAAAATCAAATACACTTGACAGTTACAGCTGAGCAGTTGAGGACTGAGGAATCACCTTCAAACTTTGGCCTTGACAACCTTTAGGGGAGATTTTAGTTTCTTCATCTATTAATAGGTTGCTATCTGAGGTGTTCACCAGTTGTCAAGTTAGGGAATATGCCTGCTATGTATACTATATGTCCTGCCCAGGATGCATCCCGGGTCCCCAGACTTCTTTCTTTGGCTTTCAGAGTTCAGCTCTCTGGGTGAAATAACAGCATCTCAAGGGAAGTCAATGTGATTTGTGAAGATTCGTGTGCAACATATAAAGCCTGTTTTTCTGCCCACAACACTGAGCATAGAGACCTCTTTGTCCATCTAGATGCAGGCAGGAGGGGTGAGGGTGGATATAAAACTGCTTGCCTCTGGCATAGATATACAGAGGAAATGAACCTGTTCTTATGTCCCATTCAAAGGCCACCTGTATAAGGGCATCAGAGTAGGTTGCTAAGAGCCTGGAGAAAATACTTGGAGACTGCGAGGGATAACATTTTATAATTAACATCAGTGAGACCTGTAAGGATTCCACACACACATCAGTGAGCAGATGTAGTTTGCTTACTTATAACATTTGTTTTGGAAAAACTAGTGGTATACATATTTGCATCACATGTATGCATTTGTACTAACAACGTATGTTTAATAAAAAAAAACAAGTAATGGAGGATAGAACTATTTAACACTAACAGGGAAGGGACCACATAAAGCACACAGGACTTCAACAGCACTATGCAGAAAGTCCACAAGGATTCCTTATCTTCAAGTGCAGCAACAGGCAAAATCCCATAAGAAATGCTTGGGATAATCACTTGGAAAAATCTTCAACATAACCACTTGAAAAAAATCTATGAGTGTCCTAGAACCTATGATAACAGGCTTTAGCAAATGCATGGGAGATATGTACTTAACAACAGCACTACCCTGCTGGTCCAGAGGTGGCAGCAGGTTGGACAAGATTTCATGAGACATCAGAGTGGCTAATGGAGCCAGCTGGACTATATCATTCCATGGCACTCTCTGTTCAGACTTTGGTTAACCTACAAATAGGATTTATGGGATTATAGGTGCAGCTGCATCAGCAGTGGCATTCTCGTCTGTCTTGATTGTGCTGTATAAATAGCATTCTAAGGAACACAATGCTTAGCCTATGTTCAAAAATGCAAATGCTGTAGCCAGCACCACCTTGGCCAGCACCGCTGTTCTTTAATACTTATCCAGACCATTGGGCACTTTGTGCTTCCCACATGCTCTTGACTTGGTGAGTGTGTTGAGAACTCAAAACAGGCATTTTGGGACATGGTGCTAAATGCTCTCATTTTTCTCTGGGAAGATGCACTATGGGAAACGTGAAGTGCTCTTGAGCAGAAAATAAATATTAGGTTTGTTTCTCAGTTATTCTATACAGCCAAAACCACTTTTACTTTTCCAATTAGAGGAGCTGGGGGCATCCCTTTCATGAATTAGTCCCAGTTATCACAAGTTGAGGCTGGGTGGGATTCTAAAGAAAGAAACACTAACTTCCATGGTTGATCACTTCAAAGAATTTACTAAAAGCCTGGTATAGTGATGAATGGCTGTAATCTCATTCAGTCAGTTGTATCAGAAACTAGGGCCAGAAGATTGCTATGAGTTCGAGGCCAGCCTGAGCTACCTAGTAAATTCAAGGTCAATCTGAAGTACATACAAAGGTCAAAAACAAACCAAAGGGGCCAGGGAAATGGCTCAGTAGAATAAGCACTTGCCTGGCAAGTGCAGGGGCCTGAGTTCAATCCCTGGTTCTTTAAAAAAAAAAAAAAAAAAAAAATTCCTAGAAGAACTTACAAAGAATATCAGTATCCTCTAGATGAAAATTAAGAAAGGAAATATTCTCCCCAGATCTGTCAGGACAATGGATCGTGCCATGGAGTTCATAAAAGGTTTATGGGATTTAGGTCACAGACAAAGACAACTTCTTGTTATTTAGTAACAGGTTTCATCAGTCAGCATTTTCAACTGAACATATTTACTAGTGCTGAGCAATGAACAAGGCCACAGCTTAGGTTTCAGGTGAAATCATAGTTTGCTGTGTCACACAAAGAAATAAGAAAAAAGAGGAAACCATGGTCCCTGCCACTGTCAAAATGAGAGTTGTTTTTCTATGGATTTGGATGTGTGCTTTGTTGTTTCGGTAGTTGATTTTGGTTCCTGTGACCCGAAAAAAAAACATGGAAAATGCTACTGCTGGATAAATGGAATGTAGGTATTATCTAAACCATGTTTTTCTGTGGAAACTGATTCTATGCCTTCACAAGGCTCTGATACAACTTTTCTGAGCCCCTATAGCACCTGTTATCCCCCTTGCTCCATCTGAGGACTCAGCACATGATATTGACCCTCTGTTTTGTTGCTTGTCACTCCTCACTAGTTAGGAAGTTTCCTGAGGATGGGTGCCATGTCTAACATGCTTATCATTGTCTTTTCAATGATTAGTTTAGTGCTTGGAACATAATATAGACTTCATGAGAATATATTATGGTTGAATTATAAAGATACTGTTACTGCTACTAGACACCTCTCTTAATAGTGAGGTGTCCACCAAATTGTCCATGTGGCACTTGAGGGCAAATTGATAATAATGAACCTCTGACCCCAAATATCTATGTACATCTCACAGATAAAATTCATTGAGTCCATCTCCTAAAGTCACTAATGTCTTATTAGTTCCTGCACTGCTCACAAATTAAAATACAAGGATTTTATGAGACCAAAGGCAAGGTAACATCCTATGTTAAAGGATTTTTTCCTTGTCTCTTTGATTCATGACCATGACTTTGTTTTTCCTTGCAGCCTGCTTCATATGATAATGACTAAAGAGAAAGTTAAGGAAGAGCACTAACTCTTCCTTACACACTGCTCTTCTCAAGTATGGGAAAGGCAAATCAAATGCAGTAGTCAAAGTGCAGAAGAGACTAGCAGGATGTTACAACTCAGGGGTGTCCCAAATTTTCTGTTCAAGGAGATTATGGAGCCACAGAGGAAAATGACTGATGAAGTATAGTGTGCCTAAGGAGAGTCATCTAGAGAAAAAAAATTCTCACAGAGGACAAATTGGTCAAGCAATAACTGTGACTCATCCAGATGGCTGACACTGACAAAAGACACACAAGGTGTTGTAAATGGCTCCAGGGTAAATCCTGAAGGGATTTAAATGACCTTGTCAGACAAAAAAAGTTACATTTGAGTTACACAGGTCTTGCTTTAATTCAGTCTAACCATCCAACAGAAAAATGTAACAACAAGGTATAAAAGTAAAGCCATATTAATATGTTGAGCTGTAAAAGGCTCACATCAACAACTTCAGACAACTGCCAGTTGTGCTGATAACCCACTACTAATATGGACTATTGTACTATATTAGGTTATTTTGCTGAATTCAAGTACCTACAATCTTAGATTTGGCATCAAGTATGAAAAGATCCTTTAAAGACTTCTCCAAACACAGCTTCTCTTATAGCAATGGAACACCCACCTCTGACAAAACAAAACAAAAAACGGGATATAAATAAAGGACCATTTTTCCATGGTTTTTATTTTTTTATTAATTTTATTGAGAAAAAATGCAATGTGACAGCTTCAAAAAGGTTGGTAGGGGAGTTACAACAATCAATACATTGCATATTGTTGTTTTTGTAGTAGTCATTCATAGCACAAAATGCAGGCATGGTATCGTGTCCAAACACTATTAGTACAGATCTTTTTTTCTCATTGAATTGAGAAAGTGGCTAGATATCTATGTTATTTTGTATATACAGATACAAAATTGCCCTTCATTTATATCACCTTTTTTGTGATATAAAAAAGGTCAGAGATGGGTATTCCATTGCTATCAAAATATTGTAGGTGCATAAATTCAGCGAAATATTCCAGTGAAGTCCAGTACTCCACAATAGTAGTGGGTTATCCATAGGACTGGCAATGTCCAAATCTGATGACTTGAGCCTTCCACAGATCAGCATATTAACATGGCTTCACTTTTCATACCTCGTTCCTACACTTTTCTGCTGGATGGTTAAGACAAAGGTAAAGAAAGACCTATATAATAAAAAATGTAACTTTTGTATCTGACACAGTCAGTCAAGTTCCCTCAGAACTTATCCCAAAACCCTGTACCACACTACGCAGATCCTTTGTCAGTGTCAGCTATGTGGATGATTCATGGCCATTGCTTGACCAATTTTCTCTCTGAGAAAGCCTGAGAGAATATTTTCTCTCCATCTGACTCTCTTTAGTCACACACTACATCATTGATCACATTCCTCTGTGGCCCCATAATCTCCTTGATCAGAAAATTTGGGGCACAACAGAACCACATGATGTTACAGTACAAGTTCCCTATGTCCTGAGTCCTCACTGACCTTGAATGGCTAGGGCCAAAATGTTGGCTGTCCTTGCAGCCCTTCTTTTTCTCTAACTTTTGGTCTGCAAACTTAGGTTATTAACCCTCCAGAAGAGAAGTTTATTATTGCCCTACAACATATGCAGGTGGGTTTAAATTCACTATCTGTCTGAATATCAAACATCTTAAGCATAAGATGGAACATTTAAAAAAAACATTTACTTGAGATATAGTGTGGCCATAATTGATACATCATGACAAGCAGTACATATTTAGAAGACCAGAATGACAGGCATTCCAAACATGACCACACTATTACACATTGCTTTCTTCGGTGCAGTCACTCAGTTCACATGTATCAGCTTACAAAGTTAGTCAGGGTGAGAATCCTACCAATTCAGTGCTAGTTTCAACAACCTGCTGATAGTTCTCAGGGTCATTGCCTTACCCATTTTGCACATATGAATGTATGGCATTGCCCCTGTCATGTTTCCTAGTTTTTCTCCTTGCTCTCTCTTCATTGTCCAATCTTCAAGTTCTCACTTTCCTTTTAATTGTGTTATACCTTTCTATTTCTATGTGTTCTTTTGAGTTCTCATACTAGGGAGATTATATGATATTTATATATGTGGATCTGGTTTATTTCAGTTATGAGTATATATTCAAGTGTAATGCACTTAAATATAAATGCTTCAAGTTTATCATTCTTCATACCTGAATAATACTCCATTGTATAAAAATACCACATCTTCTTACTCCATTCCTCAGGTGATGGGCATCTTGGTTGTTTCCAAGATTTGGCTATCAAAAATTGTGCTGCTATAAACATAGGTGCACATATATAACTATGATATAACATTTTTAGTTCCTCTGGGAAAATTCCCAATGGGGGATAGCTGGTTGAAATAGGACTTCCTGTCCTAGTTTTTAAGGAGTCTCCACACTGATTTACATAATGATTGCACCAGTCTACATTACCACCAGCAGTGGAGAAGGGTTCCTTTTTCCTCAAAGCCTCTCCAATATTTGTTGTTGCTTGATTTCTTTATGATAGTCATTCTTTCTGGGGTAAGACGGTATGTCAGTGTTGTTTTAACTTGCATTTAATGGACAGCTAGTGATGTGTATGATTTTTTCATATATTTATTCACTTCTTTAATTTCATCCTCTGAGAAGGGTGTGTTCATCTCGGATACCCATTTCTAGATTGAGTCTTTAAATTTAGGGGCCCTAAAGTTTTTA